TGGCCGAAAAGTTTTAAAATCGGACAATAACCACGCCCACATCTCATATAACGGTAATTTGGAGAAATACGAAATCTTCGATAAATCAGTAAATATTAAAGCCAATTTATTCAAAATTGATGCTTGCAACAATTCCTTACCAGGAAATACGTCTATAATAAAATTTTGAAAAATGGGCGTGGCACCGCCCACTTATGATCACATATATGTATCTCGGTAACCGTTCTACCAATTTGTACCAAACTCGGTATTTTTATTGTGCTTGCTACATAAAAGCAAAACGATGAAAATTATTGAAATCGGACTAAAATTATGGCTTTTCATATAACGGTAAATTTTAGAAATGCTTGAAACGTCAATATTTTTAAATTTAAGGACGCTAATTAACTCAAAATTGATACACCCCGGCTTACCATGTAGCGGTAGCTTTCGGAAAGCTGAAAATCATATATTTAATATTTGCGCCGGGTATTTAATGGTCGGCTCCGCCCGAACTTAGACTTTCTTACTTGTTTTATCATGGTTTTTGTTTGCAAACGTCAAGAATTTGAAAAATTCCTCTCAGCGGTTCTACCTTCCTATTTTTTATCATGGTTTTACCTTTAAATATTTGTATCATGAGAGAAATGAATACGTGCATATGTGTGTATCTGTGTATGTAAACACGTTTTCAAAAATATTTTTTAAATGTTTGAAATCTCATTTTTTTATTCTTGTTACTGACAGAATTGACATATCGTTGCCTTAATATAGAAAGGCCCTATCTCACATCGTCGCTGAAATACACAAAGCCGTAACTAACTAAAATCTTTTATTGCATAAAACGATTTGGGGCCATATAATGCGATCAAATGCATCATAATCAATTAAAACGTAAATTTTCGATTTTTAGTTAGTTACGGCTTTTTGTATATCAGCGACGATGTCAGATAGGGCCTTTCTATATTAAGGCAGCGATATGTAGGTTTGCAAGTAAACCTTCGAAAATTGCTGGGCTAAATATTTAACGACTTAACTCTAATTTTACACCAGACCATTGATTGTGCAAGCCAATTTAAGGGTATAACCGGTAAACTTCGAGTTATATAGATAACCTACTGTTCTGTAAGTGTGCCTTAACAAAAAACAGCGTAAGAAATCTTCATTTTGAAGATAAATCTTCACTCATGGCGACGCTGGCTCCGTCATGTGCGTTATGGTAGATTACAACTCCGCCTGCTCTCGTCATTGGTCTTTTAAATTGAATTACTATATCAAAATTAGGAAGGTCTAAAGTGTTTTCATTATCCATCCCCGTCTCTGAAAGAATTAGAAAATTCGACGATGATGCTATTCTGTCTAATTGAAGATCCTGTAAGTGAGCGCGTAAACTTTGGCAATTGAAGGTAAACAATGGCAATCCTTTCCTTGCATTATAAAAAAGTATGATATAATACTTTTTGAATTGTTTCAAGTCGATTCCGATGCAGTCGTTGACATTCAGCTTGCAACTTAATGATACAAGTTTTTATATATATATATATATATATGCCTATATATATATATATATACAGCCTTTTATGCGGCTGTCACGCTGTTATACATTATACATTTATTAATAGTTTTAGTTTTTGTTGTAACACCATAAAAATTCCCCAAAGAGATATTGGGGGTCCTAGTCCTTAGCTCTAAACCTTTACATATTAAATCATTTTAGGTATTCGCCTGGTAGCGGATGGAGATTTGTAAGCAACATGTCATCACAGCGTTATAGTGCTGGCGCAGTGGTTCATGACGGCAAAATTTTCATTATGGGAGGCTGCCATGGATTGTCTTCCTTAAAATCTGTTGAACGTTACGATCCATCTTTGAATTCTTGGACCAAGTGTGCGGATATGAATGCATTTCGTCGTTGTCCTGCAGTAAGTGAGCTACAAAAACCAAACCTAATATATGCCGATGAACTTATGTATATAGTTATGAAGATTAGCAATGTATATATATATTTGTATATATTGTATGTATGTCCCTCCATATTTTAGGTAGCCGTACACAATGGATGCATATATGTTTTATGTGGTGGGTCTGCAATAGTTGAACGGTACGACCCACAAAGGAACCAATGGACTAAGGTTGGTTAAAGTACAGTTTCGGATATTTCGAAAGTCATAACACAATTTTTCATTACTAATCGTAGGTCTGCTCTTTGAGCGTTAGTTGTAACGCCATGGGTTGTGTTTCTATGGATGATCAACTGTGGGCCATTGGACGTAACACCACAAATTTCGTGTCAGTTTACAACGCAGATCGTAATGAATGGATCGAAAAGAAAAAACTACCTGCTGTTAGTGATTCATACTTCTGTTATGTTGTGCCGAAAATGTTACTTAAAAATTAATAAGACGTGTGGCAGTTTAATAAGAAGATGCCTATTAAAGGCGGTTTTTGATTTCCAACATACATACATATTTTTGAAAGGAATTCGAGTTGAATGAACTTTTATGTATAACTACTACCTTAATTTTGTGTTTTTGAATTGGAGTTTAATGAACTTTTATGTATAACCATTATTTTTAATTTTGTAATGGGTTCTCTTGCTACAGCTGCGAAGAGGCCAAACTTAATAACATTTTTTTTACATTAAAACAATAAACGACTTAACATTTGTATGCGACACCAAAAAAGCAAATTGATCATATGTAAACATGATACAAAGGAGGTATGTAGTTTCATTGTCACTTTTTAGTCGCCATATTAACAACCTGACAATTAGGCAGATTGTGACTATTCTTCGAATTGCAGTATTAATTTTTTTGTTTTGTTTAAAAACATTTACTTCTTAGAGCGTGCGTGAATCGGTAACAAAGTTCGCGGCGAGTAAATTTTTGACAACTATGAGGTGAATAAAATTTTAGTAGCTCATGAGGCTAGTGAAATTTTTGACAAATGCATAAAAAATTTTGACAATCGCAAAGATTGTTGATGTGCGTAATTTTTCGTTAAATAAAAAAATAAATTGATAAATTGCAATCAACGATGGTAGACGTTTTCTTAAAATATTAATTTCACTTCAATTTGTGATATTTTATTCCGCATAAATCTGCGGTTATCAAAAATATACTGCTGTCAAAAAAGATTTCATTTCACACAGCAGATTGGCAAACTGTCTCACCATAGTATAAATATTATTCAACAGCTTTCCCCATAGAACTTAGTTACCGATTCACACACGCCCTTCGAATCGAAATTTGAACAAGCAAAATAGGGGTACTTTTCAAATTTTGCAAAGCCATTGCACGTAGCACGGATTGCATGGATTGCATAACTTGCAAACACACAACAACAAAATACATGGGAAACGACATTTCCTATCGCTGCAAAATATGCAACGTCGAAACCCATGTATATATTTTGCAAAATAGCATAGCAAGATATATGCGACCCTGTGCTAGTTGTTTTGTTGTTGGAATTGCTACATATTTCTCTCATTCCTCTCATCTCGCTCACTTCATTTTTTTCTGCTGTCTCTTGTTATTGTATTTGATACATAATTTCGCTGCTTGCTACCCATGCATTCTACCACTTTGCAATGGGGTGCTCTCGTACTCTTCGAAATTTGGGATAGTATTTTTGCATTTCGTGCAATACGTGCATCGTGCAATACTTCGAGAATACCCCTATTACATAGGAAAAAATTTTTTCCTATTGATGCAAAATATGCAACGTCGAAACCCATGTATATACTTTGCAAAATAGCATAGCAAGATAAATGCGACCCTGTGCTCGTTGTTTTTTGTTGGATTTGCTACAAATCTCTCTCATTCCTCTCATCTCGCTCACTTTATTTTTTTGCTGTCTCTTGTTATTGTATTTGATACATAATTTCGCATGCTATCGCTTTGCAATGGGCTGCTCTCGTACTCTTCGAAATTTGGAATAGTATTTTTGCATTTCGTGCAATCCGTGCATCGTGCAAGACTTCAAGAATACCCCTGATGTCTTTTTTTTTTTTTAAAGAGATGAGGCTAACAGGTCTATTCTGCGCTGGTAATAAAAAGTTTGTAACCGGTAAATAAAGTTCCTGTAAATTTTTAAAACCTTTTCGCATTCTATGTACTCTTGTAACCGGTAAATTTTGTTACCATCTCATAAGCTGGTAACAAAGTTTTGCCCCGCGAAATATGCAATGCCAGAATTTGGACAATTCTTTATAGCTGAATGTTAAAATTCAGAAGTTAGATCCCACGCCCAAAGTCTCAAAACGCATGTATTGTTGTGTAACGTTTGAAATATCTGTGGATTCATTTTATTCCTTGAGCTAAGCTTCAATTACATATGTTCAACATGTACTTACTTTAGTATTTAGAAGAATCTATCCTGATTTACTTTGAAGAATTCGATTTATATAGTTTTAAACAAGTTGAAAAGGTCTAGTCTCACTTGGCGGTAAAAATCAAACCAAATGTCAAAAACGGGAAACATCCCCAAACAAATTTCAATCAAGCAACTGCGGTGTTGCCGTATTTTTGTCAACACTCCCCCCTGGTATATCCTCCGGATTTACTCCATCCTGCGGAGCAACATTAGAAAGAACGGCAAGTCGCGTTNTGGATTCATTTTATTCCTTGAGCTAAGCTTCAATTACATATGTTCAACATGTACTTACTTTAGTATTTAGAAGAATCTATCCTGATTTACTTTGAAGAATTCGATTTATATAGTTTTAAACAAGTTGAAAA